TGCAAATAGAAGCATATAATCCTTTGAGAAGGAAATGACTTCCTGCCCCCTAATATTATATTTCCATTGATGTGGGTATAAAAAGTGCTATGGGTTTCTAGGTGAAGGCAGAATTCAAATGCTGAAGATTTAAGGGAGATATTAAAAAATGTAAAATAGCCTGGCTGGTCTTGCTCAGTGGTTGGTTGAGCATGGACCCATGAACCAAGAGGTCACAGTTTGATTCCTAGTCAGGGTCCATGCCCAGATTTTGAGCTTGGTTCCCAGTGGGGAGCGTGTAACAGGCAGCCAATCAATGATTCTCTCTCATCATTGATTGGTTTCTATCTCTTTCTCTCTCTCCCTTCCTTTCGCTGAAATCATTTAAAAACAACAACAAAAAAGTGAAATTAAAAAAAAAGGTTCCATTTCAAGATAGCAACAAAGGAACTTCCTGAACTGACCTCCTCTCAACTGATGAACTAAATCTACAAATATACCTGGAGCAATTCCCTCTGAAAGAAATTCAGAAACAAGTTGAGTGACTCCTACCCATTGGTAAGATTAATTTCCTACATGAGTCCACGCTGTCAAGCCTGGGAGAGAGGGATGTTTTACCTAATGCACAGAAACCAACAGCGAGGCAAGGGAAATAAAGAAATAGAGGAATATGTTCCACACAAAAGAATAAAATAAAATTCCAGAGACAGACCTTAATAAAATGGAGACAAGTGACTTATCTAAAAAAAAGAATTTAAAATATGTCACAAAGATGCTCACTGAGGTCAGAGAATAATGCATGAACAAAAAAAGGTATAAGAAAATATAATATTCCTGCTGAACATAAATGCAAAATCCTCAACAAAACATTAGCAAACCAATTTCAACAGTACATGAAAAGGATCAGACACCATGATCAAGTGGGATTTGTTCCAAGGATGCAATGATGGCTCAACATCCACAAATTAATAAATGTGATAAACCACATTAATAAAACGAAGGATATCTTGCCCGGCTGGTGTAGCTCAATGGTTGAGTTTCAATCTATGAAACAGGTGTGTTTGTGTGTGTGTGTGTGTGTGTGTGTGTGTGTGTGTGTAGGATTCTTTTGGATTATTGATGTTTCTATCTCCCCCTCTCCCTTCCTCTCTGAAGTCAATAAAAATATATTTTTTAGAAAACTATTTTAATAGATGGAGAAAAAGCATTTGACAAAATTAAACATCCATTTATGAAACAGAAAACTCTCAACAAAGTGGGTACAGAAGGAACATATCTTTTTTTTTTAAAATAAATTTTTATTGTTCATATTATTACAAATGTTCCTTCCCCCTCCCCCCCCAATGCTCTCCTCCACCAGGTTCCCATCCCACCCTCTGCCCTTTCCCCACTCCCCATTTTCCTCATCCATAGGTGCACAGTTTATGTTCAGTCTCTTCCCACATCCCCCTCTTCCCTTTTCCCCAAGAATCGTCAGTTCACTCCCCTTCCATACCTCTGATTCTATTATATTCACCAGTAATATTGTTCATCAGATTTTTTTTTAATTTCCTTGGTTTTTAAATTCACTTGTTGATAGTTACGTATTTGTTGTTCATAATTTTTATCTTTATTTACTTTCTCTTTTGAAAGAACCCCCGTCAGCAATTCATATAATTCTGGTTTGGTGGTGATGAACTCCTTTAGCTTTTTTTTTTTTATTAGTGAAGCTCTTTATCTGACCTTCGATTCTGAGTGATAGCTTTGCTGGATAGATTATCTTTGGCTGTAGGTTCTTACTATTCATCACCTTGAATATTTCTTGCCATTCCCGTCTGCCTGCATGGTTTCTGTTGAGAAATCAGCTGACAATCGTATAGGTGCTCCTTTATAGGTAACTTCCTGCTTTGCTCTTGCTGCTTTTAATATAATCTCTTTGTCTTTTGCTCTTGGAATTTTAATTATGATTTGTCTTGGTGTGGTCCTCTTTGGATTCCTTTTGTTTGGAGTTCTGTGGGCTTCCTGGACTTGTAAGTCTAATTCTTTCCCCAGGTGGGGGAAGTTTTCTGTCACTATTTCTTTCAGTATGTTTTCGATATCTTGCTCTCTCTCATCTTCTGGGACCCCCATAATTCTGATGTTGGTTTGCTTGAAGTTGTCCCAGAGGTTTCTTACATTATCTTCAATTTTCTGGATTCTCTTGCCTTCTAGCTTCTGTGGAGGAGTGTCTTCTGGCTCTTTATGTTCCAAATCTTTGACTTGATTCTTGTGATCTTCCATTCTGTTTTTAGGACTCTGTATAATATTTTTTATTTCAGACAATTTATTCTTTATTTCTTGTTGATCCCTTATCATTTCTCATTGATTCCTTATTAATTCTAATTGATCCCTTTTCATATCCTCATAGGTCTTATCGACAGTTTCTAGGAAATTCTTGAAAAACCTTATAAGCGTAGATTTGAACTCTATATCCAGTTGCTTTTTGTCCTCCATTTCTTTTGTTTGTGATCTATTTTGTTGTCGCATTTTTGCAGCTTCCCTGATGGGGCGGAGTTTCAGGGTGGAGCCTACAGCCTTGGCTTCCGTCAGCCCCGCCCTATGCAGCTCCTGAGTCTCAGGGTCCTTCAGTACTCACTGCAAGCGCCTCTGAGAGAAAGGTGCCCTCGATTTTCGCCTGCTACCAAACAGTGCAGGCTCTCCCCCAATGCGCCCGGATCTGGGGTTCAGTTCAGTTGGAAGTGGGATTGGAGGTGGCGTTCAGAGCAGTCTGGAGCCCCAGTCTCCTTCCTGCCAGGGCAATCCCGCGGCACAGCCAACCATCCCTCCTCTGCACGCAATGTGCGCGCCTCTGGGACCTCCTTTCGCGGCTCCCCCAGGGGTTCTGCCTTACAGCCCAGCTCCCTATGGATAAGCCTGAGTCCCCGGGGTCTGGCCTAGAACTGGGGTTCAGAGAAGTCGGAACTGGGGCCCAGCACAGTCGGAGCTTTTATCTCCTTTCTGCTAGGGAATGCCATCCAGGCACTCAGCCGCCCCGCCCTTCCTCTCCAGCTCCGTCCTCTCAGTGCGCGCCACATGTCTCTGTACCTTAGGCTTTTACAGCTCCTCCGCTCTTCCTTCTGGCTTTCTCCTTGCTTCTCGTTGTAGAATTTCCAGTCAGTCGACTTTCCTGTAGTTCTGGGTAATGTCCATTTTATATTTTAGTTATATTTTATTGAAATTGTTGTGTGCAGCTGCGGCTAGGTGTTTACCTGTGTAGCCATCTTGGATTCTCCGGGAACATATCTTAATAGAATAAAGGACATATCTGACAAGCCCACCGCTAATATCATCCTCAATGGTGAAAAGCTGAAAAATTTTCCTCCAAGATCAGGAAAAAGACAAGGATGCCCACTCTCACAACTTTTATTCAACAGAGTAGAGGAAGCCCCAGCCAGAGCAATTAGGCAAGAAAAAGAAATAAAAGTCATCCAAATTGGAAAGGAAGAAGTAAAGTTGTCACCATTGGCCTATGACACAATATTACATAATAAAACACCCTAACAACTCTACCAAAGAAACTGTTAGAACTTATAAATGAATTAGTAAAGTTACAGGATACATAATCGGTATGCAAAAGCACTAACAACAAAGTATTAGAAAGAAAAATTACAAAAAAAAAATCCCATTACATTGCATCAAAAGTAATATAAAATATACAGAAATAAATTTAACCAAGGAGGTGAAGTAGCTGTACACTGAAACCTATAAGACATTGATAAAAGAAACTGAAGAAGGCACAAATTAATGGAAAGTTACTCTGTGTTCATGTGTTAAAAGAATTAATGCTGGAAATAATGAACAACATAAATGGATGAACAAAAACAGACCCAGAGAAAGAGAAGCAGCAATCAGACTCTCAAACCTCAGAGGGAAAGTAGAGGAGGGTGGGGGTAAGGGGAAGAGACCAACCAAAGGACTTGTGTGCAGGCATATGGGCCTAGCCAGTGTCCATGGACAGCAGGGGGGAGGGGGCAAATGTAGGGAGGGGTTTGGGATGGGAATGGGGGGATGAGGACAATTATGTAATACCATATCAATTAAAAAAATAAAAATAAAAAGTAAAAATAAAAAAGAATCAATGCTGTTAAAATATCCACACCACCCAAAGCTATCTACAGAATCAGTGGAATCCCTATCGAAATCCCAGTATTATTTTTCACAGATGTGTAAAAAAAAAAAAAAAAAAAAAAATCCTAAAAAATATTTGGAATCACAAAAGACTCCCAAATAACCAAAGCAATCTTGAGAACGAGCGAAGCTGAAGGCATCAAACTTCCTGATTTAAACTATATTATAGGCCAGTGTTTCACAAACTTCTCTCATGATGAAAATCACCTGGTGGAGTTGTTAAACTAGATTCCTGAATCCCAACTAAGAAGTGCTAAACTAAGTATACAATGTTACCTATATGTTCCCAAAAATTCAATTTTATCTATATGTTCCCAAAAATTCTAGAATTTTTGGAACATATAGGTAAAATTATATACTTAAATATGTTCCCAAAAATTCTAGTTCCCAACTAAGAAGTACTAAACTAGAATTTTTGGAAACATACAAGTAAAATTATATACTTAAGTATACAATTTTACCTGTATGTTCCCAAAAATTCAATGTTACCTATACGTTCCCCAAAATTCAATGTTACCTATATGTTCCCCAAAAATACTTAAGTATACAATTTTACCTATATGTTCCCAAAAACTCTAGTGTAGCTCTTCTTAGTTGGGATTCAGGAATCTGTATTTTAACAACTCCACCAGGTGATTCTCACCATGAGAGAAGTTTGGGAAACACCGTTAGGCTGTCAGGCTTCTCTGATCAAGTAAGCGCGTTGGTTTGGCCAAGGGCGCACCCAGCGACCAGCGCCGGCAGCAGCAGCGCGTCGGGAGCCGGAGTCCTTGTGTCGTGAAGACGACGCCAGACGCTGTCTCCGTGACAGCAGGCGCAGCGCTGTAGCCCCTGGTGGGCTCGGCGGCTGCCTGGCCAGTCCCCCGTTTGCCCCCCTAGCCCTTTCCTTCCTGGACCCAGCGCACGAACCAGCGACCCTGACGCCCACCATCGCGGCTGGCCATGGCAACCTCGCAGCAGGCCATGACGACCTCGGCCTCGCAGCAGCCCGTGAAGGGGATCCTGAAGAACAAGAGCTCTCTCGCTTGCTCCCTGGTGCCCTCGGCGATGCAGAACCAGCAAAAGAGCAGTGACGTGCTGAGTAAAAAATCCCAGAGGTGGGATGAAATGAACATCCTGGCGACCTATTATATAGAAGACGAGGACATAATTAAAGTAGACGGGCCAAGCACTCCAGACAATAGCATAGATAGTGACGATGGAGATGTATTCACTTCGGAAAACTTTGAAGCCCTGAACCCAGACATGTTAGCTAGGAAATTAGCTGCCGCTAAAGGCTCCAAGCCCAAGTATTTGATTCACGAACAAGAAAGCAGTGGAGACGAAGACAGTGACCTCTCACCTGAAAGTAAAAAGTCTTTATTGGCTACCTGCTGTTTATTCTTTTTCAGGTGCTCTATAGGAAATGGGGAAGAAAAGCTTCAGAAAAGTGTCAGAGCAGCTAATGAAAAACAGCTAGAGTTTGAAATAAAAAGGAAGCTTCATGACAATGAAGGACTTAGCCTTAAATTAGCTAGGCAATTAGTTTCAAAAGAACTAAGTGAGGTAGATGAAGAAATATCGACGCCTATAACTGGAGAAAATGTGAATATGAAACAAGCAAATCAAACATCTTTGGGTGACCAACAGCAAAAGCAATCACCGAGTTCATAGAAGAGATTTGTTCAACACTGTGATCGTCTGATACAAATCCTATTACTATATCATCCTGCTTCCTGTTCTCTACAATCGATGACTTAAGTATCAAAATGCACTCCAATTATTATATGGTGCCAACAATTAAATGACTTTAGAGACTAATTAGACTGAAAATGCCTAATTGATATACATATTCTTGTGCCTGGTACCATAAATATAGCATAATATCAGCCCAAAACTGTACTACTTCTGTAAGAACACTTGTTAATTTGCATAAGATATTATATAGCTTTTGATGCTTTAAAGGTTAAACAATATCTTGGGGGTGAGGGGAGGGCATATAATCTATTTTCTTCACTTCTAGATGTAATAGCTCTTATAAAATGGCTTTTAAAAAAATACCAAAATCCAATTGGATTATGTAGGCTGATAAGTATTTTAACACGTGTCTCAACTTGATTTATCTGTTTAATTGAAAAGGATTAGTATAGGAGTTACTGTTGCATTTTCTGGCCTACGACCTTTAAAATTCCTTATGAGTTTGTTTATTTTATTATTTTTTTAATTTAATAAATCTTTATTGTTCAGATTATTACAATTGTTTCTTTTTTTCCTCCCATAGCTCCCCTCCACCAGGTTACTACTCCACTCTCTGCCCTTACTCCCCTCCCCCCACTGTCCTCATCCATAGGTGTACAATTTTTGTTTAGTCTCTTCCTGCACCCCCCACTCTCCTTTCCCCCCGAGAATTGTCAGTCCATTCCCTTTTTATGCCCCTGATTCTATTATATTTACCAGTTAATAGTTCATCAGATTTTTTTATTCCCTTGGGTTTTATTTTATTTTATTATTTTTTAAAGAATTCTTTTTTTAAAATACATTTTGTTGATTTTTTTACAGAGAGGAAGGGAGAGGGATAGAGTTAGAGACATCGATTAGAGAGAATCATCAACCAGCTGCCCCCGGCACACCCCCTACTGGGGATGTGCCCACAACCAATGTACGTGCCCCAGACCAGGATTGAACCTGGGACTCCTCAGTCCCCAGGCCAATGCTCTATCCACTGAGCCAAACCGGTTTTGGCTCCCTTGGGTTTTAGATTCACTTGTTGATAGATATATATTTGTTGTTCGTAATTTTTATCTCTATATTTTTCTTCTTTCTCTTCTTAAAGACTACCTTCCAGCATTTCATATAATACTGGTTTGGTGGTGATGAACTCCTTTAGCTTTTTCTTATCTATGAAGCTCTTTATCTGACCTTCAGTTCTGAATGATAGCTTTGCTGGGTAATCTTGTTGGATTTTCTTGTTATTCATCACTTTGAATATTTCTTGCCATTCCCGTCTGGCCTGCAGTTTCTATTGAGAAATCAGCTGACAATCCTATGGGTGCTCCCTTGTAGGTAATTAACTGTTTTTCTCTTGCTGCTTCTAATATTTTCTGTCTTTTGCTCTTGGCATTTTAATTATGATGTGTCTTGGTGTGGTCCTCTTTGCATTCCTTTTGTTTGGGGTTTTGTGCGCTCCCTGGACTTGTAAAGTCTATTTCTTTCACCAGGTGGGGGAAGTGTTCAGTCATTATTTCTTCAAGTAGGTTTTCAGTATCTTGCTCTCTCTCTTATTCTGACACCCCCATAATTCTGATGTTGGTTTGCTTTAAGTTGTCCTAAAGGCGTCTTACACTATCTTCAACTTTTTGGATTTTTTTTTTTCTTTTCTGGAGGAGTGTTTTTTGCTTCTTTGTATTCCAAATCTTTGACTTGATTCTTGCGATCCTCTAGTTTGCTTTTAGGTCTCTGTATAATATTTTTTATTTCAGTCAGTGTATGCTTAATTTCTAGTTGATCCTTTTTCACATCCTCGAGGGTCTTATTAAATTTATAGGCCTTTTCTAGGAAATTCTTGAAAAAACCATATAACCGTGGTTTAGAATTCCATATCTGGTCTTTTGCTTTCCTCCATTTCCTTCATTTGTGGCCTGCCTCTTTGTCTCCACATTTTAGCTGCTTCCCTGAGTTGATGGAATGGCTTTTTGTGCTAGGTGTCCTAGCAGGACCCAGTAGCTCAGCCTCCCCAGTTACCTGAGGTGGACACTCTTGGTGCACCCTGGTGTGTGCAGTCTTGTTGTAGTTAAGCCTTGATTGTTGTTGGTATCACTGGGGGGAGATGACCTCCAGGCCAATTGGCTGTGAGGATCAGCAGTGTCTCTGCTGAGAGGGCTTCTGTGCTCAGCTTGGATGGGGTGGAGTCTCAGAGTGAAGCAGACAGCCACGGTTTCCAGTCAGCCTGGCCCACTGTGTTTCAGTGTCCCGTGGCAATGGCTGCACGCACCACTGAGAGAAGTCTACTCTCAGGTTTCGCCTGCTGCCAGACAGTCCAGTTTTTCTCCAAAAGAGTCTGGGTACTGGGGCTGGATTGTAGTGCAGTCAGGAGGTTTTATTTCCCTCCCAGACGAAAAAGCTAGCCAGCTAGCCACGTGCTTGTTGCCTGCCCTCTCCGCGTGTGGCGAGTAAGCCAGCCGCGTCTTCAGCCACCCACCCTTTCCGCACGCGCTGGTCTCCACACCTCCACAGCAGTTCTGAGTCTCTTTCCTTCTAGTTGTAGAATTTCCAGTTAGCCAGCTTCCCAGTGGTTCTGGACTATGTCTTCTCAGTCTTCCAGTTGAAGTTTTGAAATTGTTGTGCAAGGCAGCAAGCAGTACAGGTGTTTGCCTATGCCACCATCTTGGTTTCACTCTCAAGTTTCTTTATGTTTAAAAGGAAAGAATTAAACTGTTTCTCACCAACCTAGCTTTATTGCCCTTGCCATGTAACTCAGTTGGTTGGATCACTGTCCTGTACACCAAAAGTTTGCAGGTTCGATTCCTGGTCAGGATACATATGGGGAGCAGCTGATCAATGTTTCTCTCCTTTCCTCTCTCTCTAAAATCAATAAACACTACCTCAGGTCAGGATTTTAAAAAAACAAAAAACTAGCTTTATTCACAAATAAATTATCAGGTTGAATTTATACTAACAGCTGGCTTCAGATCAGTTTTTGTAAAAAATAAATATAATTATAATATAGTCTCAGCATTCCCTTTATGTGCCTGTCCTAACCACCTGCCTTTGTTTCTTATTCCTTTCCAAATATATACAAACAATAATCCTTAACCTTTACATTAGTAAAGGTTCATAAAGATTGTAATGATGTTAGGAACTCTTCCTTTTCTCATATATTCTATCATGTACTGCAACAATGAAAATCTTATTTTGACTATCAATGCTTTTTTTTTTTCTTCTAATACATGGAAAAAATAGATTTAATAGCAGCAATACTACAGACAGGAAATACAATTCAACTGCAGAATTTCTACATTGTTCTGATTTATAGCTTGCTAATTAAATTGCTATTTACTAGTTTACTAAGGACTTAAACAGACCTTAGGATACAACTGAGATTTTTTTGTATGATGGGATAATTGTGTGTAGCCAGTGAAATAATGATAGTTTCTGAATGTACAGACAGAAGTAATACAGAAAGTATTTTAATTTAGAAACCTTATCCAGCCAAAACCGGTTTGGCTCAGTGGATAGAGCATCAGCCTATGGACTGAAAGGTCTCAGGTTCGATTCCGATCAGGGGCATGTACCTTGGTTTCAGGCACATCCCCAGTAAGGGGTGTGCAGGAGGCGCTGACCGATGATTTTCTCTCATCAATGTTTCTAATTCTCTGTCCCTCTCACTTCCTCTCTGTAAAAAATCAATAAAATATATTCTTAAAAATAAAAATAAATAAAAACCTTAATCCCTGCTTTAAGGGAATATGATGATGTATACTATGACAAATATATTTTATTCTTCTAACACTGTAAGATTGAGACCCCCCTCTCACCTCCGGAACGAAGTAAATTCCTGTGTATCTTGGTTTAATGATAATTGCACTTATAAGTTTATGGACATATCAAAATATGTCAAAATAAATAAAAAGAGGGAGGAAAAAATAAAATTATATTACAAAACTATAGTAACTGAAACAGTATAGTATTGGCATAAAAACAGACACATATCAATGGAACAAAATAGAGAATAGAGAATCTGGAAATAAACCCACCAATATATGGTCAGTTAATTTATGACAAAAGAGCAAAACGTTCAGTGGGGAAAGTATAGTCACTTCAATAAATGGTGTTAGGAACACTGGACAGCCACATACAAAAGAATGAAACTAGACTCTTACCTTACTTCATATATGCAGATAAATTAAAAATGGATTAAACTTAATTTAAAACCTGAAATTGTAAAACTAGAAGAAAACATAGGGGTATGCTCCTTGACATCAGTCTTGGCAATGATTTTTTGTATTTTATACCAAAAGTACAAGCAAAAAAGCAAAAATAATAAGTGAGATTATGTCAAGTTAATAGCACAGCAAAGCACAACAAAATAAAAAGGTAACTTACAGAATGGGAGAAAATATTAGCAAATAATATACCTGGTAAGGGGTTGATATCCAAAATACATAAAGAACTCACATAACACAATAGTAAAATAATCTGACTTTTAAAATGGACAGAGAGTCCGGCTTGTGTGACTTAGTGGTTGAGCATCAACCTATGAACCAGGTCACGGTTTGATTCCCAGTCAGGGCACATGCCTGGGTTGTGGGCTTGATTCCCAATAGGGGGTATGCAGGAGGCATCCAATTAACAATTCTCTCTCCTCATTGATGTTTCTATCTTTCTCTTTCCCTTCCTCTCTGAAATTATATATATATATATTTTTTTTATACATGCAGAGGAATCAAATAGGCATTTTTCGAAAGAAGATCTATAGATGGCCAACAAGCACATGAAAAGGTGCTCAACATCACTAATCATCAAGGACATGCAAATCAAAAATCACAATGATTTAAAGCCTGTTACCAAAAAGACAAGATAACAAGTATTGGCAAGAATACAAGGAAAAGGGAACCCTTGTATACTGTTGGTAGGCTGTAACGTGGTGCAGGCACTATAGAAAACAGTATGGAGGTAGCTTAAAAAGTTAAAAATATAACTATCACATGACCCTGAAATTCCACTTCCGAGTATATACCCAAAGGAAAGGAAAACAGGATATTAAAGAGATATTTGTGCTCCCGTGTTCACTACGACATCACTTACAACGGTCGAGATATGGAAACAACCTAAGTGTCTATCGATGAATGAATGAATGAAGAAGATATGATTGAAGAAGATATTCAAACATGAAAAAAGAAGGAACTCCTGCCATTTGCAACAACATGGATGAACCTTGAAGGCATTATGCTAAATGAAATGAACCAGACAGAGAAAGATAAATACTGCATGGTATTCACTTATATGTGGAATCTAAATTTAAAAAAATCCAACTCAGAGAAACAGAGTAGAAAACTGGTTGCCAGGGGCTGGGAGCTGGGGGCAACAGGGAAAGGGTTAAGGTACAAAGTTTCAGCTATAAGATGAATAGTCTGAGGATCTAATTCAGTGGTTCTCAACCTTTCTAATGCCGTGACCCTTTAATGCAGTTCCTCATGTTGTGGTGACCCCCAACCATAACATTATTTTTGTTGTTACTTCATAACTGCAGTTCTGCTACTGTTCATGAATTGTAATGTAAATACCTGTGTTTTCCGAGATGGTCTTAGGCTCTATAGCAGCGGTTCTCAAACTGTGGATCGAGACAGGTTGAAAACCACTAGCAGGGTTGCCTACGCCCATTGGAAAACACAGATGTTTGCATTACGATTCATAACAGTAGCAAAATTACAGTAATGAAGTAGCAACAAAAATAATATGGTTGGGGGTCACAACATGAGGAACTGTATTAAAGGGTCGTGGCATTAGAAAGGTTGAGAACCACTGACCTAATGTATAACATGATGACTACAATTAATAATACTGTACTAAGTAATTGAAATTTGCTAAGAGAGTAGAACTTAAGTGTTCTCATACATATACACAAAAGATAAATGTGTGGTGATGATATGTTAACTAATTGAAAGGAATCCTTTCAAAATGTATTCATCTATCAAATCATCATGATGTATACTTTAAATAGTTTACAATTTTGTCAATTATACCTCAATAAAGCTGAAACACCCCCAACTCCACAAAAAAGCAAAGATCTTTTCCATGTTAAAAAAAAAAAGTGCGCCATATTAAGTTTATATTTTATAGTCCTCCTTTAAAAAACTGACCTTGATTATAGCTAGGGTGACCACGTATCCTAGTTTGTCTGGAACAGACATGAAGTAACTGATAAAGTTCCGCTTTCCTTTTCAAAAGTAGCCCAGCCCGACTTATGTGCCCCCCTCCCTGGGATATAATAAAGGTTAGCAGGAAAAAAGTGTTTAAATGAATGAGTTCTGGCCTGAGATACACAATTCATGGCTCTGTTGCTTTCATGCTGTGGGACTTTGGCAAAATTAATTAATCCCTGTAAGTCCCAGTTTCCTTGAGTGTGAAATGAGTTCATTCTTTCAACAAATCTGTCGGAGTACTTACTGCATAGTGTGCCGGCACAGTTTTAGGCACTGGGGTGAAAGTATAGATGTCGGCGCTCTTACTATTGAGGGGAACAGCAAATAAACTGACAACATATCTTTAATATTTCAGGTGGAAGTACAACAGTCAACCTAGGTGAGGAATGACGGAGAGAGAGGGGAATGCTATTTTAGAAAGAAGTGTCAGGGAAGGACTGTGTTCAGAGGCATTTGAAGAAGAAAATGAAGGAAGTGACAGAACAAGCTACGTGGACCCTTGGCAGAGGGAAAGGCCCGTGCAAAAGCCCTGAGGCAGGAGCCACTTTGCGGATATAAAGAACAGCACAACGGAGCAAGGGGGCAATGACAGGACAAGCAGCCGGCGAGCTGGGGAACGGCTGAATAGGCATCTCCTGAGGTTGCTGTGATGATTAAACAAGATAATATATTTAAACCTCTTAACTCAGGATTATGTGCTCAAATAATCGGTTGTTAGTATTATTATTTTTTAAAAATATATTTTATTGATTTTTTTACAGAGAGGAAGGGAGAGGAATAGAGTTAGAAATGTCGATGAGAGAGAAACACCGACCGGCTGCATCCTGCACACTCCCCACTGGGGATGTGCCCACAACCAAGGTACATGCCCTTGACCGGAATCGAAGTTGGGACCCTTCAGTCTGTAGGGTGACGCTCTATCCACTGAGCCAAACTGGTTAGGGCTGTTAGTATTATTTTTGAAATGTTTTACATGAACTAAAAAAAGATGACTTAAAATGTGTGTGTGTGTGTGTGTGTGTGTGTGTGTGTGCGCGCATACACACACACACACACACATCCAAAAGCAATAAATATTTGGTTCTTAGATTAAAAACAAACATTTCTCCCCACCACCACCACCCTTTCTTTCTAGATATAAATACAGGCACATCCATCTCCATATTTTGAAAGAATTTATGGCAGGAATGCCTCAGAAATCCTCTCTTGTGCCCCTACAGAGAAATGCTATTTCCAACTTCCATTTCTCCCTCTTCAAAGAACTGGTAAACACTAACATATACAAATAAAAGGAGGTGGACAAGGAGAAGCATCCTTACGTTGTATCGAACGTCTAGGCCATCATAGCTGAGGGGCTGCCTCTGCTGCAGCCTCAGGTCTCCATTCACATATAACTGGGACCCCGGGATAGCAAAGGAGGACTGAAGAAATGCCATGCTCTGCATCACGAATGTCGACATCCTCTGAAGTCATTAGAGGGAGAGACAGGATGAGTTTCAGTCAGATCTTAAGGGCTCTGGGTTCTAAGTGTCACCTAGTGGTCCCCCACATACCTGGCTTAGCCACACGGGAAGAACTCTGAGCTGTTCATAGCTTGTATAAATTAACATGGCCCTAATGAAAACCATTTGATCTGCCCAAGTTAAATCCCAAACTGCACCTCAGAAAAGAACCTTTTTTCTACAGTGTGGGTTTTCCTAGGAAATCAGAAAGAGGGATCTGTACTAATAAAAGACAAAAGGGGGAGGACAGGCTTCCCCCAGGAATCGACTCACATGCAATTGGTAGGAGAAAGTCAGGATGAGTTGCACACCAAGAACATGTTCCGTGGGCTGCAGGGGAAGCTCCAGTTTAAAATGTAACATGTCCATTTTCCCGTCCTGGTTCCTGTCTTCTTCTCTGGTCTAGGAAACCCAAAGAGGGCCAGTGGCCCTGGTCCTTATTAAGTTAGGAAGAATCCATATTACCATCATACATACACAATGAACCACTATTCTGCGATACACAGGTATTAGCTCCCTCATCAAAAGAAAAATTAGTAGGTATAAGGGATCAATATTGGAGAGAGACACAATGTGCATGGCCCCTGAACTTCTTACTTGTGCTTCCCAAATATTCAAAGGCCAAACTGAACAGGAATTTGAAGCGGCAATAACAACAAACAACTGGATAGTATTTTTCTTTTTGCAGTCTCATTTGATCTTTTTTGTTTGTTTGTTTTGCTTTGTTGCTGGCATCTTTCTCTTTTCATTTTTACAAACAGGCTGGAGTTTGTATGAAAGGTTTAAGTAGCAATTATTCAGAATTATTTTCCGCTTGTCTAGAAAAGAAGACTAATACTAATCACTATGCATTCCCCAGATTCAGCAGAAAAACACCAAGCTCTATTTATACAGTACATCTTTTAACCACAAGTGTCTTTGCCGCAAATTCTCAGTATTGGACTGCATCTAATCATTGACAGGACTTTAAAGTCTAGTGCATCTTTTAGTACCAATCAATAAAGCAAAAAAGAAAGCTCTGGCCAAAACCGGTTTGGCTCAGTGGATAGAGCGTCAGCCTGTGGACTGAAGGATCCCAGGTTCCATTCCGGTCAAGGGCATGTATCTTGGTTGCGGGCACATCCCCAGTAAGAGGTGTGCAGGAGGCAGCTGATCGATGTTTCTCTCACATCGATGTTTCTGGCTCTCTATCTCTTTCCTTTCCTCTCTGAAAAAAAAAAAAATCAATAAAATATATATTTTTAAAAAGGAAGCTCTGGAAAATCAGTAAGCCATTACAACTACAGATACTTTATAAATTATGTACATGAAGGTAGGGAAAACAGATCTTAGGAGGGAAAAAGACAAATTACAGCTCATAAAAAAAAACAACAAACTGGTATCCAATCTTGTCATCCATAGTCTTGCCTCTTAGGGATCCTAATATGACTAGCAGGAAAGGATGGTCACTGAAATGTGATCACTGCTGATACCATTCCTTGGCACACTCCGGATCTTGTTGCTACAACTGATCCTTTCCCAGAGTTAGGTTCCCAGAAGGATTTTACTTTGGTGGACCAACATCCTCATCTGAATTCCCCATCTACTGATTCATTTTTCTTTCCACCAATACCATTATGCAAGGGAAAGATTTTCTTTGTTCTTTTTTTTCAGGCTAATAAGGTCCTTTTAAGATGGAGTTATCTCAGTTTTCAGAAACTTTCAATGGCTTCTTTCCTTCTGGACAATGATGTCCTTATCCCAGGCCCTGTTATAGAGAAACCTGCCCTCTGTCTTCTGTTGGATGCTATTTTCTCTGTCCTAGTCCATCAACTTCGCAGGTGCAGCGGAGGGATATCTGTTATTTGGGCCGACGATCAAGTTACTGAGGCAATTATGTATTAGCAATTATGATGAGGATAGAAAAGAGGCTGCCCTGTCTTTCTGTGACTCTTCCTTAGTTGGTATCTGGGAAGACTTGGAAGACAAAAAGTCACGTTAACTCTCTGGGGTGGATCTATGCCTTCTGGGTCCTTAGGATTCATAGGAAAAGAAAGATCAAACGTCTCAACTTGCAAGGGAGGAGAGTGGGTAGGAGAGAATTGCCAGAATACAAACTCCAACACAGTGTGGGATAGAAAAGCAATTCATGTGATCTTTAAAATAAGTCTAAGGTAAGCAGAGCAAGTATTATCCCCATTGGATAGATGAGAAAATCAAGGTTCAGGGAGGTGAAGGGATTTATTGGTACAACTACCCTGTTTCCCCGAAAATAAGACAGTGTCTTATATTAATTTTTTCTCCATACGTTGCGCTAGGTCTTATTTTCAGGGGATGTCTTATCTTTCCATGCGCTAGGTCTTATTTTCGGAGGATGTCTTATTTTCGGGGAAACACGGTAGTAATGGGGAAAAGAGATGATGCAAAAGGTGCATCTCCCACAATAACCTGTCACCAAGTTAGAATCTCACTAAGGCTGGCAAGGTGGGCTACATTCTATGCTCCCATGCCTGCAGCTGGAGCAGGAAGGGAAGAGGCTGGCATTGCCTCCCGGAGCTGGGACTCAGACCTCAAGAAGGAAGTGCTGCCCCCCTGACGCTGGTACCTCCAGAGCCTTGGGGGAGGAACCCACGAGGGGGAATGGATAAGGCTGGAGGAAAGACTTAGTACTCTTTCCTGTTTGTATCACCCCAGCACTGGTTCTTCAACTGGCAGTAGTAACCGATTGCAGTTTCTATTTTTTTTCCTACTCCCAGAACAAGGCTCATCCTGCCTCCTACTGGCAGAACCTAACAGGGGGTCAGTGGGCAGAAGAGAATGTGGTTTTCATCATCTCAGTGCGAGCATCACAAAGTGGAGATAGGAGGGCGGATTTGGAGCTGACGCAGGACCTAAAAACAATGCACCATCTGACTGCAAGAGTTGCTATAAATCAAGGAGTGCAATTGTTTCCAAATGCCCTGACTTGCAATATTTTCTCCATCAAGTATCTCACTTTTTATACCGTTCATTCTGTTGAGTAACATTTTTTTTATTAAAGGTTAACTTCCTACTTTATACTAGTGTTCATTTTACTATATATTTAAGTGTTCCATTTTTTAAATATATTTTATTGATTTTTTTTTACAGAGAGGAAGGGAGATAGAGTTAGAAACATTGATGGGAGAGAGTCATCAATCAGCCGCCTCTTGCACACCCCCTACTGGGGATGTGCCCGCAACCAAGGTACATGCCCTTGACCGGAATCGGACCCGGGACCCCTCAGTCCACAGGCTGACGCTCTATCCATTGAGCCAAACCGGTTTTGGCCCATTTTTTTCTTTTTGTGCTGAAAATTCTCTTTGGGTAAGGTGAACAGATCGGGAAAGAATCTTTCCAATCTTTCCAAAAATCGGGACTTTTTTTAAAACGCCGTGGGACGCGGGAAAAATTGTTAGAAATCGGGACTGTCCCGCCAAAAGTGGGACTATCTGGTTACCTTATCTTGGGGTCTCCTGCAAAGTAGGAACCACTACTTCAGGACTTCTAGACTCATCAAATCCTTACTGCCTGTATTTCAATGTGTCTAAGATATCATCCTACATAATAAGAGAGGAATATGCTAATTACCCACATAATGACTGGATCACGGATCTGCAGGAGAGTGGGGCATCGAACTACAAGCAGGCAGCGGAGAGCTACAGGATGGGGCAGGGCAGCAAGCTATGAGGGGAATGTTGGGGGAGCTACGAGAGGGCGGGACAGCAGGCACACAGCTACAGGAGGGCAGCAGCGACCTGCTGGCACATGGCTTCTTGCAGGGCTACTAGTCAATTATAAAATGCACCACCCACCAGCCTGAACCTCACATAACCTTCCCGTCCCACCAATAGAGCTGAACTCTTATTTGACTGTAAATCTTACTTGCTTGCTTAGTATTCTATTTACTTATACAATTTCATCAATCAGCTTTTATTGAAATTCCTCACAATTTGATGTTTATTCAAAATCCAGTTCATGCCTGGGCCAGTGTGGCTCAATGTTTCAGCATCGACCCAAGAACCAAGGGGTCACCATTCCTGGGTTTTTATGTTTGTTTGTTTATTTTTAAAGATTTTTAAAAATATATATTTTTATTGATTTCAAGTCCACAACCTAGACATGTACCCTTGATCAGAATTGAGCCCAGGACCCTTCAGTCTGAAGACCAATGCTCTATCCACTGAGCCAAACAGGATAGAGCAAGAGGTCACCAGTTTGATTCCCGGTCAGGGCACATGCTTGGGAAGGGCTCCGTCCCAGGTGGGGGGCATGAAGGAGGCAGCCAATCAATGTTCAGTGTTTCTCTCTCTCAATCCATCTCCCTCTAAAATCAATAAAAACATATTTTTAAAAAACTTCTTCATTGCAATATTCTAATAGTGAAAAAGCGAAATCAAATAAAATATCCACTAACAGGGATAAATCCATTTCAGTTCCATATTATGAAATACCTTGTAGATTTAAAAAAAAAATAAGGTTGATTAACAAGTATTGATACATAAACAAAAAAAAAAAACACAAGTATTGATACATATCCAAAACTGAGCCTTAATTTTATGTCATTATATATACCAGTAATTATAACATTTTACAATAAGCATGCAATGTTATAATCAGAAAAAAATATAAAAAAATTTAAAATAATCAGAAAAAAAAACTTGAATCGCATTTTGTGTGTCGTTATTCATATAACTCATCAGATTTAATTTTCCCCCTATTTTATTTAATTGCTGGGGAAAAGTCTGAATCCCCCCCCCCCCCCAAAGTTTGGCTTGCAGGACAATCATCTCAAGGATATTTACTGAGATTAAAATTTGGAAGAAGGAAAGCCAGAACTTTTATATTTCTAGAGGAAAATTTTTTTTCAAAACATGAGCAGAAAGGGAGTGTTTGTAAAGGAAGCACTTCACTTACCTGAACAGAATACTGAACTACAGACAGTAAAATGCTTCCTTTTCACTCTGGACAGACAGCTGCAAGATGGAGCAGCATCTAATAAGACAAGCCCGGGAGGCGGGAGGGCCGTCCCCGGAGGTCGTTCAACCAATCGGGGGGCCCGGCTTCCCAGGGTCAGGCCTGCATACAAATGCCTGCTCTTTCCGTTCCGAGGGTGTGAATGCACCGTTCCAGCAGCACTAAGGGTGGCAGTAAGAACACCGCTGGTCCTCCAGGAAGGACTCACAAAAAGGAGCTTTCGCGACCCCCTTTCTACCAGGCAGCCCACGGAAAGGACGGGTCTGCCTGACGGACACCGGCGGCCGCGGGCTCCAGCGGCTGCTCACTTTCTCGGGGTGATGGGCAGCTTGGAGAGATCGAGTGAAATAAGAGGTGTACTCCCCAGCAAGTTAAGCATCTGTCCAAACCACTGAGCCTGTCTGTGGTCACAACCTTCTGTGGAATCGAGGGACCCTGAAGACCGTACCCGCGCTCCCGCCCCTGCCACCTCTCCCCAGGCCCGGTGGGCAGCGAGGCCCCGGCAGGAACCACGCACCGAGACGAGCGGGACGCGCAGGTGGTCCCCCTGCAGCCGGTTGAAGGCGGGGAACGTGCTCCAGGCGAGGAAGCCGCCGCGCTCCGGCCCTAGCAGGGCCAGGAGCAGGACCTGGTGCTGGAAGCGCACCGTCGGCTGCTCCTCGTAGCTGCTCCGCTTCAGCCAGAACCCTGAGGTAAAAAGGGCGGGAAGGCGGGGGGGTAGGATGTCAGGAAGGCCGGCGCCGATGCCTGCGGACCTGGGGGCACCAGCGCGGGCAGGGAGGCTCACCGTGGCTCCGGAAGGCCACCAGCAGCGGCGGGACGTAGGTGAGCGCGGCGGCCAGCAGCAGGAACAGCGCGGCCTTGGAGCAGAGCCCCGCGCGGTAGCCGCGCTCCACCGGCTGAGAGAAGAGCTCGTAGAGCGCCATGGAGCACAGCGCGGAGAGAGCCCTTGGCGGTAGGGAAGGGATGAGCAAGTTTGGCTTCTCCTGGTTGCCATAGCCTTGGTCTCCACGGCAACGGACGGCGCAGGGAAGGGAACCAATCGCAAGGACGCGCGGGGCCTCGGTGGGCGGGGTTATAACGAGGGGCGGGGCCTACTGGGACGGTCGTTGCCGCTTTAAGCGTTCTGTGCGTTTCCCCAAAGGCGGAGCGGAAATAGGTTTCTGTGCACCAAGATCGTGAATTAAGATTTTTATGAAAGTTGACCCGAAGTAAATACTTGTGTGTCTTTCATAAAGTATCAATCAATGATTCATACTTGAGTTCAACTAGTCCCGGTACACAATGCATTGGAGGAAAGCACAGAACATCAGTGCCTCCGTGGTCTCGGACCTGGTCCTGAGCGAAGACCAAACTCCGGCCCCTTGGTCTCCAAATCTTCTGTTGCTTTCACTATACAGCAGCGTAGGTACGGAAGCAGGACACAAATCTCCCGGTTCTTCGTGGGATAAAGAATAATGACTACATAGCTCTCTCTGTTATTCTCTGTTACCCTGATTGGGTACCAGCTGGTCTCTAAGGTTTAGGGGAAGCTGTGATCCTCCCCAAAGATAACACTGGCTTATCACTGAATTGAACGCCCCAATCCCCAGCTGTAAACCAGTATTTCAATCATGGCAGAAATTATTTCTCTTTTTTAAAAAAAGCATGGTTCACATCCAAGTTCATAAAAAGGCCTTGAAGGGTCACATTACAGTGCCAACACAGAGTGTGGAGTCCCAGTAGTTGAGGCCCTTATTTTGAAGGCAACCTAGAAGTGGCTTTTAGTTGAAGAGAACAGCTAAGATCCTAACAGAAAAACAGAGAGAGGTTAAGACTTGCTCCTTATCACAATCCAAAATGACAATGTCATCTCCAAAAGATACTTTTGACCTCTGGTCCAGTACTACTCATTCTTGCTTTAAAGCTTTTCTGGGGTGGCCTCACAATCCTTCAAGATAGTAATTGTATTTCTTCAATCAGGTTATGATTCTGACATTATATTGTATCGATGCTTTAAGTAGATGTCTTTCATTTAATTAAATAACCATCAAAATAAGATTCTAGAATAGATGGTTCTAGTGTCATCTTCCGAAGGTGACTCTGCTCTGAGGAAAAAGATGTTTGCCTTCAAGGCTCCTTCTTTCAGCAGAAGGAAACACACATAGGGTAGCTAGTGTTAGCTTAGTCACTGAAACAGGGAGGTGACTGTCAAGAATTTAGGTGTATGGCCCAAACCGGTTTGGCTCAGTGGATAGAGCGTCAGCCTTTGGACTGAAGGGTCCCGGGATTGATTCCAGTCAAGGGCATGTACCTTGGTTGCGGGCACATCCCTAGTGGGGAGTGTGCAGGAGGAGGCTGATCGATGATTCTTTCTCATCGATGTTTCTCTCTATCCCTCTCTTTCTCTCTGTAAAAAAAAAAAAAAAAATCAATAAAATATATATTTTAAAGGAATTTAGGTGTATGAAGTACTTAGCCTTCCTGGAGATGCCTTGAGTTTCCATAACTATAATAATAAAAATGTAATATGCTAATTAGATCGAATGTCCTTCCGGACAACCTTCCAGACAAAGCCAGGGCTGAGAGGGAAGCTCCGGGCCCCAGGTGCCTGCCAGCAGCTGGAGGGAAACCCAGGTCCCAGGTACAAGAGGGAAGCTGGTGCCAGCAGCCATGGGAAGGAAGGCCTACTCTTGCATGAATAGTTGAACAATAATGGATACTAATATTTACTCTTTGATGCCATGAGTTGAGAAAGCTTGTATTTGTGGTTCTATTTCAATTCTTTTAGAACATTCAATTTTTTTTAATGGTGAAGATCTGTACATATTGTGTCATTTCATGCATTCATGACTCAGAACTGACTTTTCAGTTTCCAAGGACTGCAGGAAGCCAATTTCAGCATGTCATAATTGCAAGAGTTTCATCAAAAGGTTGATGGGATTTGGGGACTCAACAAGGACTGAGTCACATATGTTATCACCTGCTCGAAAGGCATTTTCCCAAACTGAAAAGTGTGATTGTTTGCTGCCAGATAGCTCAAGGGCATCTTAATTTACGTGTTATTGCCTCCTACTGGCCAAACATCTGAACAGCAATAGACTATTCCCCATTCCGACAATGGACTCTGTAGACTAAACCCTACCCTTTGAAGTGTATATCTCCACCTTGCCTTAGGACAGTGGTAGAAAAACTCAGTCAACTGAGCCAAATATCAACAGTACAACGATTGAAATTTCTTTTGAGAGCCATTTTTTTTTTTAAACTTAAACTTCTTCTAATGCCACTTCTTCAAAATAGACTCGCCCAGGCCATGGTATTTTGTGGAAGAGCCACACTCAAGGGGCCAAAGAGCCGCGTGTGGCTCGAGAGCCGCAGTTTGCCAACCACAGCTCTAAACAATCAATGAAAAAATATCCTTGTTTTACTAAAATACAAACTCCATGAGAGCATAGCTGTCCATTCTGATCACTGGTTTTCCCAAGTCCTAGAACAGTGTTCCTATATTCAACAATCATTTTTGGTATGAAATTCATTAAAATAATTTTTTTTTCATTTCATTAAAAACAAGCCGGTAAACTAAAAGCTATTTTGGTTGCTCAGACACACAATGTAAAAATAACAAAAATAATTTTAGAATGAAGTTAGATTCCACAGCATCCATCAGGAATTTCAACTATGGGAAATATTGAATGACAATGTTCAAATATCCAGGCCTTTCAGATGCATCAGAATCACAGGCATGTGGCAAGGATCATGTGCCCAATTAAGCAAGTGTTCCTGTTACATATTCACCACTCATAAGCATACGGTGATCTAGAGCCCTGATGACATCACTGGAAATCCCGAAGGCTGAGGCAGATGACACATACACACGGAGCTTATGCTGTGATTGCTGAATCTCACACTGCCAAAGAAGCCCATCTCATGATCAGCTATCAGAGGAATTCTCCCCACCTGATAGTCACCTCTAACGCCTCTGCTTTTAGGATTAAGGGGGGGAGGGGAGGGTCTCTCTGTGATCAGTGTAATGTTACAGTCCTCGGATGCACATTTCTGATAACTTTCCCAATATATCTATTCATGAATAAAGGAAAGAAATTGGATTTGTTTTAAGTTCAATTTCTCGGTCCAAGCCAACCTAGTATGGCTGTTCTTAATACCGAACCCTTGGGTTGTCATCAGTATTCCTCCCTACCCAATCCGGTATGGAGCCCCCAACCTGTTACTCCACATAGTACTTCCCAAACCGTCAATGCCCTACACAGAACCCCCTCCCCGCCATCATTAACCACCAGAAACCCCTTTTTTGTCATTCATATCCTCCCAAAAAAACCCCTTCTTGTCACTAAGGCCCCAGTCAGACTTCCCCCTGAGGAACCCTATTCTATCAGCCAGACCCTCAACCTCTCCTGCCCGTTAGCAACGTCCCCCGAGACCCTACTCCTATCACCAATTCCCAAACACCTCTCCCCAGGTCGCCGGTATCCCTCACGGACGCCCCTGACTCCAACGTCATCAGCTCCACTCCCGTGTTTACACCTCGCGACGCCCTCCCCGGCCCCGCCCCTGGCGTGCGGCCCCGCGGCCCCGCCCCTTGGCGCCGCCACCAGACGGACGGCGCCGGAAGCCCCGCCCCCGGCCGGTTGCTAGGCTCCGGCAGCCGGAAGTCCCGCCTGTCGTGTAGTCCCCACCGCCGCCGCCGCTGTCGTTGTTGTTGTGGTTGGTGCCCTGAGCTCCGCGGCTCCGAGAGCCGGCTGCGTCTTTGCCCCGCCGCCGCCGCCGCCGCCGCCATGAAGTGGATGTTCAAGGAGGACCACTCGCTGGGTGAGGATCCGCACCCTGGCCGGGCCGTGGGGGCCGGCGCGGCGGGTGGGCCCCCTCCCCCACTCGGGCGGCCCTGGGCTGGGCTGGGCTGGGCCGGGCAGGACGGTTGCTGCTGATGCTCTTGGGGCCGGCGTCTCCGAGATCCCGGCCCCCCGACCGGCCCGCGGACCCCGTGCCGCCTTCGGGAGGACCTCTTGGCATCCGGAGGCCGAGGACCGAGGCCGCGGGGACGCCTGAGCCAGGGCCCAGGGCGTGCGTAGATGGCGGGGGAGGAAGGTTAGGGGGGGCGGGGGGTTTGGGGACCGGCTGGCAGGCAGGCAGGCGCCACAGTCAGCCTGGTGTTTCTCCCCCCAGAGCACAGATGCGTGGAATCCGCGAAGATCCGAGCGAAATATCCCGACCGGGTTCCGGTGAGTGGACTCCCCGCCCCTTCACCTCACTGTCACCTCTGTCTGCTGGGACTCGTGATGGGGCCCAAACCATTCAAGAGTTGACAAGTTTGAGGTTCTCGTCCCGGGTCACAGTAGCCGACTGGGCAGACTGGGTTATAGGGGTAATCGGGGGACCTGAACTTGAAGGGCTGGAGCTGGAGCTGGGTGCTGTTTAGGGTGCTTCAGTGCTGAATCTCCCGATCTAGGCCAGTGAGCTGCCTGCAGCCTCCGGGCTCCCTCGCCAATTATATAAGGAACGATATTCTAGGACAGGGCAACAGGTCACGGCCACTTTGGGGAACGGTGGTGGAGGGAGCCTGTCACTTTGGTCTTAGAAGTGGTACTTTAGTCTCAGGACGGTCTCATCTTTTAACTTTGAGCCTCCATCTTTATCTGACTAATAGCTCCCTTTCCTCTCACCCTGACGCTGTCATCCTTTCCGGAAAAAATAAATAAATAAATAAAAATAAAAATCTGAGAAGCCGCTGAAAACATCTTCTCCCATGGTTTTCCCTTCACCTGTAATAAATATGACCCTATATTTATTCCATCCTCGGGGTGATGGATTCTGTAATCCCTATTGATTTTTAAAAGGCATCAGGCCTGTTTATCGTAGCTCATTGCTTGTGAGCACTTCCTTAGGAGATGGGGCAGGAGGGACACATTAGAAACCTAGCTGAGAGAGAAGCAGCAGGCCGAAGAAAGAGCTTGGCTCTTGGTTGGCTGGGATTGCCAGGCGTTCCCATTAGCCCAGCCATTCTCATTTCTGTGTTCCTGGGGTCTTGATTCCCCTGTAGTGTGAAGGCAGATCCATACTGGGGTGCTGGAATAATAGGGTACAGATGAAACTCCCACCAGATATCCTTGGGTCTGCCCAGACAAAAATGTTAAAAGGCTTTGTGTGAAAAGCTGTACTTCTCTTACGCATGCAGAGATCAGAGAGGAGAAATGTAACAATGGACCACAGAAGCACTTACTGTTTCCCTCTAACGTATTTATATTGGTTTTTCACCTCCAGTTATGTGTGGTCTATTAAGCCAAGGGCATATTTCTTTATGTTACGCAGTTCCCCGCCCACCTCCTTGCCCACACACTGTTACTCATGAGCTCGCTGACAACGCAAGGCCAGAGCCTCCCATGAGAAATCCAGTCCTGACCTCTCTTTGCTTTCCCAGGTGATTGTGGAAAAAGTCTCAGGCTCTCAGATTGTTGACATTGACAAACGGAAGTATCTGGTTCCATCTGACATCACTGTGGCTCAGTTCATGTGGATCATCAGGAAAAGGATCCAGCTTCCTTCTGAAAAGGCCATCTTCCTGTTTGTGGATAAGACAGTCCCACAGTCCAGGTAAGAGATGTTGACTGGAATTGGCCATCTGCGTGGCTGCTTACAGAACTCAAGAAGTTTGGAGGTCTGAAAACTCTTGGATGTCCTAACTAGAAATCTGGATCTTTGTACTTCCTGATATCAGGAGCTCAAGGAAAATATGGGGTGCAATACACGAGAGTGTACTTTGGGTTAAGAAACTAGAACAAGACCTGGACTTTTTTTTTTTTTTTTAAATGATGAAATTTAGTCTCGACTCCCAAGAATCCTCTAAAATAGCTGAGGACTCTTAAGCTTAAGTCACCAGTAGAACCGAAGCCTGAAATAATTTTCTCCAAATGATTCATGAAATCAGTCCTGTCATTCTCCACCAGAAGCTTGGCCTTGCTGAGGCTCAGCTTTAGTTAACCAACCTGCTTGCTTGCTCTCCAAAGTCAGTCATCTCTGCAACTGGGAGAGTCTCTAGCTGCACCTGATCTTCAATTCGTTGAAATGGCTGCTGTCCAGCAAAGGGCTCTGAGGTCTCTACAGATAAGCCTCCCTTAGTACCACCTGTTCTCACTGTCAGAGTCTGACTGTGGAGAGAGGAAAATGGACTGGCTCAGCCTAATTCCCTGGTCAGTGCTTTCTTGTTACTGAATACTTCTAGGCCCTGTGCCAGATGCTGGCCCCTCTCTCTTGAGTGTGAGTTCCTGGCTGCATCCCATCTTTGTGACCCAAACTAAGTTTAATTTGTTGTGCTCCCCCTCTCCGCCTTCCAAATAGTACTTCTAAAAGCCAAGGCTTTCAGAAGCCCTGGGAACTAGCCCAGTGTGGCCAAACAAATATCTTCCTTTTGAAAATCCTTGAAAGCTCTAGAAGAGGGCTAGGCCATATTCGCTAATCCCTTTCCCACAAAAGGTAAAAAGCTCTTTTTTGGTCTTAAGAACCAAAAAGCAGAAATGCTATTTTTAGATCTGATTTGCTCTTTCCTAATCTCCACCACCTTCCCTTCCTTGTGTGAGGCAGAGAAGCAGCATAGGGGAGAAATGGAAGGTTCTTCCCTAAGGTTTGTTGACATAAGAAATGCCCAAACATGTAGAGAATTTTTATAAGTTTATTTGAGCCCAACAGATGACACAGTTGTTGGGAAACAAGATCACATGTCCCTAGGAGAGTGACCGTTTTTCAGTTTCTTTTATGCATTTGAAATTAATGAAGTAACATAATGAAGATTACATACAGGTAGGAGAAAGCAAGGTTAGGATTGGATTACAGGATAAGTTAAGATTATGTGCTTTCTTGAGAATGGGGTTACACTTATTTTAAATGTATATTAACCTAGATACACAAGAACAATGAGATAGGGTTTGCTAAGGCAAAGATGAATTTTTCACTAAAAAATTTATATGCTTGGGGTGTGACTAGCCATCATGACCTGCCCTGTTAACAATTTGTGATCTGGCCTGGCCTGTGTGCCTCAGTTGGTTGAGTGTTGACTTATGTATCTAGAGGTTGCTGGTTCAATTCCTGGTCAGGGCACATCCCTGGGTTGTGGGTTCAATCTCCAGTAGGGGGCATGCGGGATGCAGCCAATGGCTGTTTCTCTCTCATTGATATTTCTCCCTCTCCCTTTCTCTCTCCCTATAAGAAATAAAGCCATATTTTATTTATTTATTTATTTTTTTGTTTAAAAAGTGTGTGATCAGATCATCCTGTGAAGTTTCTTTCCATAGAAACTTTTCATCCACAGGCCTGTGTCCTGCCATCTGGGTGCCGTTGGTCTGCTATAGCGGTTGCTCAGGGAGCGGTGGTTTTGCCAGAGGTGTCAAGCCAGAGCTGGACTCTTTTAGCCTTTCTTCTTAGGCCTCTGGGTAGTGTGGAGCTAGACACACTGTTCACCAGGGGAGGGGGCCTCACCCTTGTGTGGTCACTCGGCTCCCCTTAAGATGGTAGGGAAGGTAAATTTTTCGCATCACCTGCTACTTCTGCAAGCCTTTGAGACTGTTTTTCCTTCTTGGAGGTGGCTTCTTAGTGGGAGGAAGTAGGTGACTATTACCTATGGCATTGAGTTTATTTCCTTGAATTCTGATCCTCTGATACTTAAAAGGAAATGAAGCTGGCTTCCGAGGCCATTAAGATTACTCTGATGGCTCCACGTTAATCTCACAATTAAAATGGCTGCAAATTTTTAGCAGTTATTCCCCTTCCTCCCATTAACCCTGAGCTATAAATAGAATTGGAAATGAAAAGTGATTCTTAGGGCAGCAGAGGCTGCTTCGGGCCATTTTCTCTCCAATTCTCATTTGCCTTTCCAACCTGGTAAGAATCTACCCTAAAGCAGATTTATACCTTTGATCTAGTAAGTCAGGATTTGAGTCACTAATGAGGGCCCCTTTGCCCATGCTTTTGCCCCAGGTAATGACTTCTTGCTCCACACTTAAAGCAGCAGTGTTTTGTTTTGTTTTGTTTTGTTTTGTTTGGGGGGAGGGTTAATCTTAAAACCACATTTGTTTACAAACAAGTGACATCATGGGGCTTTATGCACATGCCAATCACCTAATAGCTCAAACAAAATTGCCTCAGGGTTGCCTTCCTAAAGCTGGTGTGTGAGTCATCTCCTCCATCTTCTCACCCAAGGCAGGTTAGCAGCCTTTTTCTCAGCTCTTTCCAGACTCCTTAGGGAGCCCAGAGCAGCTGTAACCTGCAGCTAGTGTTCGCTGCTTCATAAATGCTAGGGAAATGAGTTGAGAAAGGAAGAATCCAACCCTACAGAGCACTCCCCCATCCAGCAAGATCTGCACTAGGATCATTTAGGCGGAGCTATAGTGACTTCCATTATACCTGCCTTGGAGCAGGACTTTGTGAGTGTTCTGAACACGGGTGATCATCATGTAGAATGTGATTGTTGTTTAGAGTGGAGAGTATTAAACAGAGGCCTGCACCAGTGGGGTCCCTTGGCCTGGCCAGTGATAAGGCCGATGGCCATGGAGGGGAGCTGGTCTGGAGGAGGGACTGTGGGAGGGTGGCCAGCCGGGAAGAGGGGCTGCAGGATGTTGGCTGTGGTAGTGCACTGACCAGGGGGCAGCTCCTGCGTTGAACGTCTGCCCTGGTGGTCCGTGTGCATCATAGCAACCAATCAACTAACTGGTCATTTGATTGCTTAGGCTTTTATACACTGAGAGGCCAGATTATGATCTCTGAACACAAATAATCTGGCAACTCGGTGTGTATATATAAATATATAATATATACATATATAAGTGTATTTGTAAATATATATGTGTGTGTATGTACACACACACACACACACACACACACACACACACATATATATATAGATATGAGGCTTGGTGCATTAAGCCGTGTATTTATATATATATGAGGCTTGGTGCATTAAGTTGTGCATAGGTGGGGTCCAACCAGCCTGGTGGGGGGGGGGAAGGGAGGGGAACGGACAAGGGTGGTTGATCAGCCTGCCTGCTGGTCGAACTCCTATTCAAGAGGACAATGTGCATATTAGCCTTTTATTATATCGGATTGTACACTGAGTGGCCAGATGATTATGCGTTCAGAGATCATAATAATCTGGCACTCCGTGTAGATATATAGATGTCCATTCTAGAAATAGACACAGGCAAGTCCCTAAGAGTTTTACTTCCCTAATTCTTTTTGAGTTTTGTTTTTAAAAGGGGGGAATCTCAACTGCCTTCTCACATTTAATATTGGAAAGTTGAATTCTCTACCTAGGTGCCTACATCTAGGATCATGCCAAAAAACGAAGAGAGAACTATGGGTTGGTGCAGATAGGACCTGAGAAAGCATATCAGTGTACAGATTCTCAGTTGTGTCATGGAGGGGAATCCAGACCCAGCAGTGGTGCCTGCCTTTTGACCTTTTGGTTAGAATACAGATAAGAGTCTTATTCATCTCTGTTTTAAATAGAAACAAGAGTATATTATTAAATTAAATATCTCTAAGATGTGATCATTTGAAAACGTTATATCGGTAAACCTGTGATGTTTAAGATTATGATGTTCAATTGGTTCTAGATCTTAAAAGAGGTACTAAGGCCCTAGCTGGTTTGGCTCAGTGGATAGAGTGTCGGTCTGCAGACTGAAGGGTCCCAGGTTCAATTCTGGTCAAGGACACGTGCCTGGGTTGTGAGCTCAATCCCCAGTGGGGGACATGCAGGAGGCAGTTGATCAATGATTCTCATCATCGTTTCCTCTCCCTTTCTCTCTGAAATCAATAAAAATATATATTAAAAAAAAGAGGTATTAAGTAAAAGGAAGTTAGTTGTGTTGTTGTATAGTCCATTCAAACTTTATTTAGAAATGTGCTTATCTAGCCGAAACCGGTTTGGCTCAGTGGTAGAGCGTCGGTCTGCGGACTGAAAGGTCCCAGGTTCAAGTCTGGTCAGGGGCATGTACCTTGGTTGTGGGCACATCCCCGGTAGGGGGTGTGCAAGAAGCAACTGGTTGATGTTTCTCTCTCATCGACGTTTCTATCTATCTATCTATCTATCTATCTATCTATCTATCTATCTATCTATCTATTTCCCTTCCTCTCTGTAAAAAATCAATAAAATAAAAAAGAAAAGAAAAAAGAAATGTGCTTATCTAAAGCACTTTTGATAATTTTTTGGTAAATAACTTCAATAATGGGGCTTATTTCAGCTATTGATCAAGGTTTATTTATATGAGGAAAATCTGACAAAAGGAATGAGCAGAAGTTAATTTTCATTTTTTAGAATTTTGGGGGACTCTCAGGGTCATCTTAACTTTCACTTTGAGGCCAATGTCTTCCCAGGACCCACAGCAGTGGCCACTGTCCTCCCACCTCACCCCATCTATCTATACCCCTGCTGGAAAAGAGATAAATCCAGGTCCAGTGGAAGCATTTGTGCTTCAGAGCAGATGGGTGGCCAGGTGTGCCTATCAGCTAATTCATGAGTCAGTATCCATGACCTGCCCTTGGTTGGGGGACGGGGGAGGTTCTTCAGGGAAAGGGCATCCACACAATTCTAGGTCAGCCTCCTG